TATAAATACTTGTTATTTTACAAATTTAGTTTTTATATAGTTTCTATGTAATTACTTATATAAATTACCTAATAAAGGCCTCATCTTAAAAAAAAAAAAAAAAAAAAAAAAAAAAAAAAATTCCTTACAAAATTTGCTATAAAACTCTACTTTACCATAACCCTAACCCTAACACTAGAGATTGAAATCAAACATGATATGACCAATTGCTTGGTCAAATCGATCATAATCGTTTATGAAATTTTTTGTTCAATTTGATCGATCAAACTCAATAATCGATCATAGCCTTTTGATTGATTATAATCGATCAAAGACTATAATTGATCATAAAGTTTAATCGATTACAATTAAAGATTCGAACTAGAGATTGAAATTGAACTTGATATAATCAATTTCTTGGTCAATATTATTATCGATTATAAATTTGATTGATTATAATTGATTATATGCATAATCAATCATAATTGATCATATGCATAATCGATTACAATATTTAAATTTGGAAATTTGTGCCCAAAGCCCTATAATGGTATATCGCTTTTTAATATGAATGCGTGAAAGTAAAAACTTGCAGTTACATCGATTTACTATAATAAGTTACAAGTTTTCACTCTCACGCACTTATATACTTATATCAGTTAATTCTTATTACAGATCAAACTTGATTTTAAAGTTTTGGAACTAGTTTTATATTTTAATAAAAAAATTTTGTTCAATAAATCTGAAATATATTGGTTCTGGTATGTAAGAATTTAGGGATTAGAATCCGGCATTGTTTTAGTTACAAACCCTTTTAAGATATCGATATCAGAATGTGTACTTTAAGTTTTGAAACCAGTTATATACTTTTAGAAAATCTTGATTTGATACCGGTATTTAAGAACTTTAAATCCAGATTTATCAGTTATAAGAATCTTTAATGATACAAATCAAGTTTATAACTAAAACAATGCTCGATTCCAATCCCTAAGTTCTTATACCAGAACCAGTAAATTTTGGATTTAAAATTTTTAACTGAAGCATCTTTAACTTGATTAATATTCTTTTTCTTTTTTATTTGATAAATATTTGTATATTAACTAAATGAATCTCTATAATTGTTTAGTAAAATAACATGAGTTATCTAAAAACTAATACCTAAGTTAGATATCTTTTCGAATATAATAATGAACCATGCCACAGACAGACTTAAATATTATTTGAATATTTGAATCTCTATGCTCGTATATTATTATATAACTCACACAGAAAAAAATTTTTTTTATTAAGTTCCTCTTTTAATTATAAGTATTAGAAATAATAGTCTTTATAAAATGACATTCACCATATTGGCTTTCTTTGCCATTTTTATCAGTTATTACGATTGAATCAAAATGCTACCAAGCCCATAATCTTTTTTCACCTTGCTGATACAGGTCGAAAGATAAAAAATCAGACACAAATCAAGTACCTGATTTTTTATCTTTCGACCTGTGTGACTTATTTTTAATTTTGTTTTACTTAAACTATCAGTTATCATTCTTCATAAACTGAAATGTTAGTACTATAATAAGATTCATTCTCTTTATACAGGAATATTAGTAGAAGATGTAATATCTTTATTTAATATTAAATCAAACTATACATTTTTTAATTAAACTAATTGAAAGATTGATAATTGACTAATTAAAAACTTAATGAATGAAACTTTATTTCGATACTCGAAATTTTGATTGATGTTCGAATAATTATTTATCAAATCTATTCTTTAATTAGAAACCTTAAAATTCAAGATTTGCTGGTATATAAGAATCTTAAATCCAAGATTTACTAATATATAAAAATCTTAAATTCGAAATTTACTAGTAAGAACCTTAAATTCAAGATTTACTAGTATGTAAGAACAACAATTAGTAAAAACACTATCCTTTAGTAGACTTTTGTTATTATTATTGATACTAAAATTAGTAATAGGGTTCTTATCATAATCTTTTACCATTCTCATAAGGGATACTAGATTTCCCATTTGTTTTAACATCACAAAACGATTTCCTATATATATATTAGCCAAAAAAAAAAAAAAAAATCCTTCAAAAAAATTAAACATGGATAGTTCATCAAAATCTATGAATTATGAAGATACTTCAGTAAGTTCAAGCACAGATATAAATGAAAATAACTTGGATTGTGTGGTCATACCAGAAATTTGTTCGCAAAAAAGAAAAGATTACACTGGTAAACCTAGTAAAAATGTTGATGATTACGTGTCAAAATTAAGCTCAGAAGAAATAGTTCTAATTATTCAGAACCATTAATTAATAAAAGATTTTCAAGCAAAAAAAAAAGGGGAAAGGAAAAAGTTACTGTATAAGCTGCAATTTCACATTCCCAACTATGAAGACAACCCTGATCCTTTTCGTAACTGTGAGCTAAAAATAGCACTAGGAACAAAAAACACACTTGATCTAATGCATCTTCAGAAAAATACAAAAATTACTGATCATAATAATGATACACCAGATATATCCATTGGATCAAGTAATACCATCATAAAAAAGAAAGCTGGTGGATCCTCAATTCGCAGCCCAGCTTGGAAATGGTTTGAAGAAGCATATATTGATAATATTCGATATGGTGTATGTAATATTGAAATGGCAAATAGAGAGGCTTGTGCTGCAAAAGTAAAGACTAGTAATTCAACGATGGCATTATAGAGACATCTAGATATTGAGCATGGATATACTAAAAATAGTGTACAACAAGTAAGTTTTTCTCAGTTAGAATAGTAAAATTTTTTTATATAAATCTTTAACTAGTAGTATAAGTCGATTCAACTTAGTTGACTTTTAATAAAAATAGAATAAAAAAAGAATTGATCTCATTTTAAATTTATCATTACTTATTTATATTAATCAAAAACGTATTAGAATTAGAATCAAATTAAGTGGATTTTAAATTTTAAAACAGATATAAATAAAATTTATTATAATACTTAATTATTTCCTTGATCGATTTATTGATCAATTCTTAGAGCTAGTTAACCCGATTTTTATAATATCGACTTAGTTTAAATTCGACTGCTATTAACAATTTTTTTCTTTTTTTTATATGCTAAACAAAAAGCAGACAACAATAACAAAAGCATTTGAAACTTCTTTATCAAAACTGCATAATACAACTGAACAGGCTATTCGTGATAAGGCTATTACTGAAGTTATTGTTGTACAAAATCTTTCACTTTTTTTTACAGAAGAAAAAATGTTTAAACGATTTGCAAAAATTGTAGATTCACGATGAGTTGTGCTAGGCATAGGAAAGGTTAAAAATTTTATCAATGAGGGATTTAATCAAATTAGCTCCTGCTTGCGGCATGATTTGCATCAAGCTAAAACAGTATCGTTAACTGCGGATTTGTGGATAGCATATTTGCATAAAGGTTACTTGGGTATTATAGCAACATGGATCAATGAAAATTTTAGCTAAATAATGCTATTTTAGCAGTTACTTTTCTTTGATATCCTTATACAGCTAATGCGATTATGAAATGTATTGAGGATGTTCTTGAACATTGGGATTTGAAAAACAAAGTTTTCTTGATTACGTCTGATAGCAGAGCAAATATAAAGTCTGCATGTAATAAACTTGGTGTAAAATGGATTCTGTGTTCTGCTCATATACTGAATTTAATTGTACAAAAGAGGCTTTTGCCTGCTAAGCATTTAATTACTTGGATGAACCGTCTAATTACATTTTTTACTGTATCTAAACAAAGTGAATGTCTTAAGACAGTGCAAGCATCAATTCAAAAGCAACAAAAATCAGACCAAGAAAAGGTAATTTAAAGTAAATTTGGTATAAGTGGTCTAATTACATTAAAAAACTTTAAAACTTTTATACTGTTGACCCTCTTAGAATCAGTATGCATGGTGGACAGGTTTTGTATTAGTTTTAAGAGGTTATCAGATTTGAAAACATAGTAAACTAATAGATTTATATAACAAGAATGAACTTGGTAGATTAATTTTTTATCAGATTTGACAGGTTATCGGCTTTGACAGGATTAGTTTTGAGAGGGTCAACAGTATTTTAATTTAATATAGACGCCAATACTATTAAATTAAACTGACTATTCGCTTTATAATATATTATAATTCTATATTAATGATAAATTTAATTTATATGCAGAATAAAGAGAATA